GAACACCGCGAACCGAAAGCGCAAGAGGACAGCGCGTCCTCCAAAACAGTAAACAGCGCGACCGCCGAACAACCGCGGTAAATAGCGAATCAAGCGAGATTCAAGGTATATAAAACGCGACGTAATCGTAATCGAGAGATTCGATCATCCGCTCTCGAAAGAGAATCAGAACCAATCCACCGCTCTCGAAGGAGAATCCGATTCCGATTATCCGCTCTAAGAGAGACCGACTCCGCTCCTGGCAGATTATTGTTCGTCGATTGGCGACTGTAGTCACTCCGCCGTCGTTGCACGGATACGTGGCATCGACATTCGACTCTACTCCGCTCCTGGCAGATTATTGTTCGTCGATTGGCGACTGTAGTCACTCCGCCGTCGTTGCACGGATACGTGGCATCGACATTCGACTCTACTCCGCTCCGGGTAGATTACTGTCCGTCGCGTAGCGACTGTAATCATTCCGCCGTCGGCTCACGGATTCGTGAGGCCGACACAGATAAGTTTCATAGTACCGCAGGCCGCATCCGAAATTGCGTCCGAACGAGCCAAGCTCGTTGAATCATAGAGGAAACTTCGCAGGCTAAGGTCCTGTGTACGAGGACCGACGGCTACACCGCATACACCGAACCGATTTAAATCTCCGCGATAGGAGATCGAAGGGAGCACCGCTAAGGCGATATCCCGCATGCAGTGACGCTGCAATCTCAACGCCCGCGAACATTATAGGATTCCGAAACGCCGCTAAACATCGCTGGAAAAAGTGTCCACCGCACTTAAGAGACACGACGCCGAAAGAAACGTCAACAGCATAGACTCGCGAAGACGCGACACTGACGTCGTCCGCGCACCGCGCGTCACATCACCAAATCCGCGTCTAAACAAACCTCGGTCAGGCGATACAAACAACCAAAGCCAAAGGCGTCGACACGTATTGTTCGATATATATATTGTCATTATCATCAGTTAGTATTTTAAATATATTATTCATTATTATTTTCTTAAAACACTGTTTCTCAATTATTCCGCCTATCACGAACCCGATCCGACCAGCGATTCAAACCCGCAACGAATCGCGGTTACATACATATAAAAATTATTAAATTTATGTTATGTTTTAATATATACATATATAAGTATATATGTATGTACGTGAGCACAAATAACATCATCTATCGCAATCACTCGCATAATCTCTTTCTCTGTCACATTTCACTTAATTCTCGGCCGTGTCAAGTGAGGGTGCTGCAAACACCGAACAAACTAGAAAGGTTTCATCATCCCTGCGATCCGGCACTATCTTACATTTGCTACCACGTGGACAAGAAATTTTATATAAGGTGGTAAAGTGCGAAGTGCGAAGATTTAAATAGGAAAATTAAAGACAATATTATACATTTTTATATAAAAATGTCAAAAAAGTTTCAGAAAGAGGTAAGTGAATCTACACACACACACACACACACACACACACACACACACACACACACACACACGCACGCACGCACGCACGCACGCACGCACGCACGCACGCACGCACGCACGCACGCACGCACGCACTTTTCCATTCAATTCTAACCTATATTTTTCATAAAATATTTCGTCATATATAAGATCTCAAATTTTTAATCAAATTTCTGTATATCAATATGAAGCGAGCATGGCAAATTATTAGATACAGTAAATTTTTTTTTAGATGGGTGTTATTAAAAGATAAATATGTACAATTGGCTTCTCCCAAATTTAAAAAAACATGTACCTGTTTTATTTTCTTTCATTAATACTACAAATATGTATGGTAGCGGTCTCAATTTTAATTATATGAATTCTAATGTTAATAATGTTATAATGTTAATACACATTTTTTATTGTGGACTATAGATGGTTATGAAAAGAATATCATATGCTCAAGCTTCTAAAGCCAATGTTAAACGTTTCTGTGAAGCTGAAATTCAAGATCAGTTGATAGAGGTAGACGATATATTAAATGAATTAAATAAAGCACGCTGTAATCTCTTTCATGTTTCACCTGCTATTCACATTGATGAAAGCAATAACCTTCAGGATAATGATTTCATTATTGAAGATGCATTATATAATGCACCACCCACATAGCAAAAATTGATCCCAGGGACGTCCAATGGATGTATTGGAAGGGATTTTGGATATCCTAGGATCATCGTTGAAAAAACCAAAATATATCCATAGGTTATACTAAGGATCTCTCTATGTCCGCCTTTTGGACATCCTGTGGAAGTCACATATTGATGTCATTAGGATGTCTGCAAATAACCATATTTGATCCTAGCAATATCCTTAGGATATCTCCTCACATACATGAGGAATTTTTTATATTAGGAATTTATTCAAGGAGAACAAAAAAGTCAAAATAATGTCACTTTAACATCATTTAGACTAAAAAATCAATCAAAAACCATCAATTACATCAATATTTGGTCAAAATGACGTCAAATTGATATTTCAACTCACTGTTTTTCTTGAGTATTTTTATAAAAATGAAATTTATATTCTAAATTGATTGATGTAAACTGGTCCTTTAAGCTCCCGCAATGTGGATAACTGCTTCTTCTGGCTTTCGGGTTGGAGCCACGGCAATGAGAACAAAAGTGAGATAATAGTAAGAAGTAGGTCTTTTTTATTTATAGAATATTTATTTTTAAATATACTCTTACACATATAGAGTGTATACTTGTGTAGAATAAAATATAAATTCAACTCTATTTTTTGAAATCACAGAAGTATTGATATTTTGATTTAAACAAAAATTAAACTAAATACTTTATTAAGTACAAAAATAGCTCTTTAAAAACTAACTAGCTAACTAATAAAATTCAATTTTAGTTTTTAAAAACAGAATATCACAGAAATATTGATACTTTGTTTAAAATAAAAATTAAACTAATCATTAGAAATAAAAATAGAGATCTTTAAGCTAGACAAAAAACTGGTAAACAAAAAAGTATTTTCCAAAATTCACTTATCCTTACCTTTAATATGAACTCGCATAAAAAGTGAAAAATTTCATTAAATTTCTCTAAATGCGTCAACAAAATTTTTCATTTTTTACAAATTTACACCAGAAAAAAATATCCATAGTCAACTCTAAGCAGAAACCCATAAGCACGAACTCTCAAAACAACGCATAGGAGGACTTTAAGAGGTCATCTTGTCATCTTTATATCAAATCAAAATGATTTGACATAAAGATAACATGGTCTCTTATAATTCTCCTATGCGTCGTTTTCGGAGCTCCATGCTGTCTGGGAAATGAGAAAAAATGAGAAGTAAAATTTTTCCTAAAAAGTGAAATAAAGTAAGTCAAGCCTATGCTTTTAATAATATAATAAAATATATACGGAAAATAAATGAAATATTATGTTGCGTCATCGTCAGAATTTGCAGCTGATTGTTGCGTTGTATTTATTTTCTTCCATTTTTCAAATGCATGTCGTAACCATGTTTTGACTGGTTCTGAAATTTCCCATTCAGTTACTTGTGCGTGCTTCATATGAACAACATCTGAAATAAATAATTAAATATATAGTTGTATATTTAATTATATATATATATATATATACACACACACACACACACACGCACGCACGCACGCACGCACGCACGCACGCACGCACGCACACACACAGAGTATTTGAAAAAGTTTACCCAAGCCGAATTATGCAGATAGAATAGGCGAAATTGAAAAAAGTATAAATAAAATATAATAAAGTATAATAAAGAGTTTTCCAAAATTCACAATTATTGAATTATTAACTAAAATATCTAAACGATCAGCGCACGAGAAATGATAAGTCAAACTCGAAATGTATACGAAATGTATACGAAAGCAAAAACAATTTATTTACTTTTGTTTGTAGCAACGATGCACAAAAGTAAATAAGTTACTTGTCTTTATATTATCGTATATTTCTGTCGAGTCCGGCCATTTTTCGTGCGCAGATTCGTCTAGATATTTTAATTACTAATTCAATAATTATTGCGAATTTTGGACAACTCCATTTTCAACCTTACCTGTTATATCTGCACAATTCGGCTTGGAAAAAATTTTAAAACACTTTGTATACAAGGAAATTCGAAACAACCTAATGTCTTGAAAAAACGATATTTCAGACAATTTTCTAAAAAATAGTCTCTAAGTTTAGTTTAGAATTATATTTTCTTTAAAAATATTACATTGTTTCGAATCATTTTGTATATTGAGTATACATGTATAAATTTAAGTACCATAAATAACGTGTGCATGCGTCCCTAAATATAAATCTCACTAATAATATCATATTTTATACAAATATATATACTCACTAAAAATAACAGAACAAAGTTTTAAATCCGAAAAACATTTGTTGTTTTTCTTTCCGTGCCAGTTATAGTTGTTTGCTACATTGATGGTAAATATTCTTTTCATTAGATTTAAAATTAGAGTTTTCATATTTTTGCTACCGTAGAGAGTGCAGCTTCCTAAGAAATAAAGGACAAATATATTGTATGAGAAGTGCAAATTTAAAAATAGAAAAAATAATATATTATATGAATAATATAATAACACCCCAGACAACACGAGTTTTGAAACATCTTTAAGACGCCTTTTAGCCATCTTTATGACATATCTTTTAAAGATGATTCCAAGGCGTCTTAAAGACGTCTTATGTCCTAATTTGGGACATCGTATTGTCTGGGATATTATGGTACATAATCAACTAAATGTATGTATCAACTACAGATAAATATATACCATTGTTTTACAATACTTGTTATCCATGAGAGCTACTTCCAATTGATTTAAACTTTCATCAGTCTCAATTGGAAATTGCGACATAATGTTTTCAGTTTCTTCTGCAGGTTCATTAGACTGTCGATACATATTTCGTTGTTGTTCAAATGAATCAACTTGGTTTTGTATAATAATATCCAACTTTTGTTTCATTACTGAAAAGTTCTTATATACTTGCTGCCTAAATTCATCAAATTCTGAAAAAAGTGTTTATATTAATAATTGTTCATATGCGATAATATTCAGATCACATCTTAATTTATATTAATACTGTTGTATAAGGAACATGCAATGATATTTTGAGTATTGAAAAATGTGTCTTTGTTTAATTCATAAATGTGTACACATAAAAATTATTCTTTTATGTATATACCTCTTGTGCTGGAAATAGTGTGTAGGAAATTAGAAGTATTTTCACGAGGAATAGGCTGATTAATTAATTGCTCAGCATTTTGCGAATCTGTAATTGTAGAGACTTCTGTAAAAAACATTATATCGACTATTCTATTTACAGGGAGGTACCTAACGGACCACTTGAATATATCTGCTTTGATGATAGAAAAAATATATCCATTTTTACACGTTCATCTATCAAAACATTATTTATGTAAAATTATATCGCTGGCAATATACGATTTCCCACGAATATTGTGAGAATATTCCTGGTACATTGAGATGTACACGCACCGGCGTTAATGCCGTCCGAATATCCGTGTGACTCGCACACGATAACGCGTCACTCATACACTGCTGCGTGTAGGTGAGCCATGAGCAGCACGGAGTGGCGGAGAGAGCTAGCGGTATACGATCGTCGGACGCTTGGAGAGGGAATAGTGGTGGGAGTCGCGGCGATCTTCCATCCTCTATCGCAAACGTAAGAACGAGAGAAATAGCATTATAAGACGTCTGGACAGAAATGCCGTCCTAAAATACGTGTGACACACACTAAGAAAACGCTTGACTCACACTGTCTCGTCTATACGTGAGCAATACGCGGTGTCCCGACGACTGTTTCGCTCGCTCGAACGTTCAT